TCCTTCCCACAGGTCACTTCATTTCTTTAGCTATCTATCCATTTTTTTTATTCATACAAAAGAAAAAAACCTCTTTGTAATGATTTTCACATATGAATATAGTGGGAGAGAGAGAGAGAGAGAGAGAGAGAGAGAAAGGTACTGTATAATATGTACAATAAAATAGTAAGTAATAAAAACTATTTGAGAGGGAGGGAGGGGGAATAATTATTATAAAATTTAATTTATTTGAAATGAAAATGAAAAAATAACCGGAATAAAAAAATCTATCTATCTAATCAAATGATTTGATATGGAAATGGAAAAAATGAAAATCATTTAAATATAGACAGTATTTAGATATACATATCATTTAAATATACATATTATTTGGATATACATATCATTTAAATATAAATATTATTTAGATATACATATCATTTAAATATAGATATTATTTGGATATACGTATCATTTAAATATAGATATTATTTGGATATACATATCATTTAAATATATTAAGATATATATATATATATATCATTTAGATATAGATATTATTTAGGTATACATATCATTTAAATAGATATTATTTAGACATACATATCATTTAAATATAGATATTATTTAGATATACATATCATTTAGATATCGATATTTAGATATACATATCATTTAAATATACATATTATTTAGATATACATATCATTTAGATATAGATATTATTTAGATATACTAAATAATAGATATATTATTTAGATATATCATTCAGTTTTCTGCCGAACCTCCTGGAATTTGAATTGGCATACAGCCCAGTGCTTGATCAGGTCTTCGTCCTCTAGAGGTCCGGTTTGGCTGTCAGGGATAAGACGTTTCTTTGTCAGCAAACCATTCAATCGATCTATCACTGTTGTTGGCTTACTGTAGGTCACTCACTTCATTTTTTAGCCATCTATCGATTTTTCATTCATGCAAAAAAAATCTTTTTGTAGTGATTTTCACATATGAATATAATGGGAAAGAGAGAGAGAGAGAGAGAGAGAAAGAGAGAAAGAAAGAAAGAAATGTACTGTATAATATGTATAATAAAATAGTAATAAAAACTATTTGGGGGGGGAATAATTATTATAAAATTTAATTTGAATTTAAATTTTTTTCGTTCATTTGAAATGGAAATGGAAAAGTAATAACTGGAATAAAAAATCTATCTATCTATCCATTTACCTGTCATCCATCTATCCATCCATCTATCTATATCTATCTATCCATATATCATTGTTGCCTTCAATAGTAATCAATGCATGCATCACATTTTCCATACAGACTTAGTTTTCATTTATGCAAATTTTACATCAC